CTTAGTTTCTTAAGTTCCTTACCGTCTTAAGGTAAGTAAGCAGTTAGTGAAAAAGGTCCTCCATAACTACTTTCTACCTCCCCTCACTTGATATACTGGCGGCCTGTGCTCCCGGTCCCACGGGATTGACCCTTCCTCCGACGGAACGCGTTCCGCATGATCGGTTATTTTTGATTGCATTCATTGGTATGCTCCTTCCTTGTTCGACCCGCATCATCTTCCTCTTCGCCAATATGTGCTGTGTGTTTCCATAAGATGTCGACGTGACCACTCCGAGTAACGCCGTTGAAGGCGTGGCAGAATTGCCAGTGGTAGAGGCCAAGGTTCATTCGACGGGCCTTGTCGTGGTCGGCAGATGGTTATCACTCAATGGTCGTTCGGGACGTATATCACCAATACGGGTAGTTGTCATTTTCTCATTGTTACACTCTCTTCTCCCACTTCGAGGGATGGAGGGGATTAACGGCTGTCCTCTATTGGAGAGCCTTCAGCTGCTTTCCCAGCTGAATTGTGACCCAACCAGGGACTATTCTGAGACATTTCGACGATCGAGTAGGTAAGTGTAACCCGGACCTTGGGTTTGGATTTACGCTGCTGTCGGAATGTACACGGATGAGTGATGTGAACTCACTCCAAGTCTGGGTACCACTATAACTGATAACAACAGCGTTGGAAGGTAGTGGTACCCGGAAGGAAGGGTACTCACAGGGAATTCAGTTCAGAGCGAGTTGCCGCTGGTGTGGTACATGAACATGGCTTCGACCGTCTCTAACATCAGCATCCTTGGTGGAGTTATTGGATTGGCCCGAGCAAGAGAAGAGTCGATTTCTGTTGGCGAAGTTGTTGTTCAGAGTTTCTTTTTTCTGCTATGTCGAATTTCATCACGCTGTCTCCTGATACCACTTGGGTGAGCATCCATTCCCCCTCATTTGTTGCATAGAGTGATATTGTCAATTCTCGTCAGTTCCTCGCGATTGTCGCATTGATGGGCGTCGCTGTATTGATGGAGAAGTTCTTGTATGACACGTTCTATAAGAAAATCGCCAATTACAAGACGGGGGAGATGAGGAGGAAGATCGTCCCTGCCGAGTTCAATACACATCCGCATGCCCTGCAAGGTAGCGCTTGATGAAGGGATCGAACCAGGGACCTTTGGGTTGTAGGTATATTGCCAGAGATAAGTCCCGCTTCACCATTCAAGGGCGATGCTGGGCTCTTCCCTTTGAAGTCTACTGGCGATAAGATCTTCTGGGAGTGAGTACTGATAGTGTGGGGAAATATGTACATGGTCAACTACATGTGTTGATGACAGTATGAAGACTCCGGGGAAATTTTGGGGAACTCTCATTGATTCCTTCTAGCCTAGTTCGGCTAGTTCGCATATATGCTTTTATAATCACCTTTGGAAACTCTTGAGCTCAGCTGCGGAAAGTAAACATACATTCCAACTCCAACACTGGTTTTACGGAGGCCTCCACCAACTATTCTTGTGACAATAGTCTTGGAAATTATAAAAGTTGAAATTAGCTCTTTATTTTTGGTAGCCTATGATTGTTGTTCAGGACTTTCGTACCGACTGACGTTGAGCATCCAAGAGGTGTAATTGTCTTTTGCCACGGATATGCGGACCATTCGGGATTCCATATGTTCAACGATGCGCGTATGTTCTGTGAGAGGGAGAAATACGCATGCGTGCTGTTCGATCAAGTAATACCATCTTTTCGTTACATCGTGCTTTGGAGTTGTTCCTTCAGGTCGGGTCGGGGCGTTCGGACGGTCTGCAGGCGTATATCGATGACTGGTTTAAATACTGTCAGCTCGCCAAGGAGTTCATCGATCAATTTGTACTCGCCGGGGATCGAACTCGGGACCTCGGTTGACCGTCTATGTGTAGGTTTTGGCAACTTTTGTACCATCGTTAGCGGAGCGAAGCTGTCATTTGCCATTTTATGGCTATGGCCACTCGATGGGAGGCGGGCTCGTTACTTCACTCGCTATTCTGCATCCTGAACTATTCGATGGGATTATCTTGCAGAGTCCCATGTTGAAGGTGATTTCGATGATACCGACATCGATCATCTGGGCGCGCGCTTTTGAAATCAGAGCCTGTCAGATACCGCAGGGTATGCATCCTTCTTGGGTAGTTGAACAGCTGCTACGTGTGGTAGCTAGAATCGCCCCGAAGGCTCCTATAGTAGGGAGGAGTTGTGGAAAAGTTGGTATGCACGCATGCGCATGTGTGCTAGGTACCTACGAAGAATCTGGGAGAGGTCATGTACCATCATAGAGATTCCATTCACTACGCTGCTAAATTCAACCGCTTGGTGTATCGCGGGAAGCCTCGTCTGAGCACAGCGCTATGCTTGCTCCAGGGACAGGTAGTAAATTGGAGGTACCGGGGATCGAACCGGGGACCTATTGTCAAGTTCTAGAAAATGGTATTTTTCTCCCGAACGATTATGTGATGGAGGGTGGATGCCAGAGACATTTCGTCTGGTCAGGATTTCGTGAGTGCGAATTTCAAGTCGGTGAAAACACCTTTTATTGTGTGCCACGGAGCGGCTGATGAGATCACGGATCCTCACGCGGATGTTGAGATGTAACCCGGGTGGTATCCAAGGTTGACTTGGGTTGGATTCAAATCATGTCCATTTGGTGCCACTCGTTGTAGGTACAACTTGTCACCAGCTCAACGCGAATCCAGAGTATGTCTCTATCCTGGTCTGAGGCATTTCATCACCGGCATGCAGGA